TAATGATTTCGATACGTAGATAACGTCTTTATGTGTCGATAATGCGATTAACAGCTATTATGCGTTCTGGACTCAAACTAATTGGTCAGTCGGTATAACATCGTAATCGCGTTTATTGAGAGGACGCTACACCGACATATTTTGTTTGTCTCCGTTTAGGATGTACAATTATATTTTATAAGTAAACTTTGCAAACTCAACAAAGTAAACTTTGGGGATTTTTTTTCCTGTGGATTTTTTTCCGGGGGTTTTTCTTCCGGGGATTTTTTTTCCGAATACCATTCCACTATTAATTACCTACGTAATATTATGTTAAGCTAAGTTTTGACATGAACATCATTAGAATTTTTAAATCACTTAAGTCTAGAACGCACAAGGAGTATAAGTAATATTTGGAAAAAAATCAGTCGAAAGTAAAACGCACAGCTAAACTTATTGATTATAGTTAGAGCGCGGATTTCTATGCAATTGCATATTTGTTTCCTTTTAATATTTTTGGATTTTTGTCAGTATTCTCTACGAATCATCATAATTTGAAGCAAATGGTGAAATTTTTTTTTGCATATTTTTGCATATTTCAATTTCACAAAACTTATAATAACAACAAATATAAAACAACAATTTTTACAACTTTTATTATTTTCCCAAGTTATTTAGTATTCTCGTAGTCCACACAGTTAGTAGATGCATGTTACAACTCATACACCGACGTACCTCCAAAAATTTCATACTTTTACGCGGGTGGCGGGTCTATAATATTCGAGACTATAATATGTTTTTTTGTTAGCAATATACGATTTTTTAGAAATACGGGTTTTGGACCTTGGGGGGCGTGGCCCCTAGGGCCCTCCCCTAGAACCGCCCTTGAAACTGCCACTGGCGATCTTGAAAATTTAAAAAACTTATCCATATTTCTTAGTTTCTTACTGAAAGGAAGAACGGAATTTGAATGTATATTGATGTGCTACGAACATACTGCCCTAAGTACTTACTGTATATGTTAAATGCCTAAATACCTGTAATTGTGACTAATGCCATTAATTATAAATACTAGATATTATATTTAGAAGCAATGGTAATACGTAAATTATTGTATTCCACTAGAATCTAGGAAAAAAAATCCCCGGAAAAAAAGTCCCCGGAATAAAAACCCCCGGATAAAAGTTCCCCGGCAAAAAAGTCCACAGGAAAAAAAACCCCCGGAAAAAAAATCCCCAAAGTTATACCTAATTATTGGATACAGCTGTCTAAAATAATAATTAATAATAATAAAAATATATAAAATTAGAATGATAACTATTAGAGTGGATTAACTCCTTGAGTGGATTTAAGGATTTCCATAATTACACAGTCAAAGATATAAAAATTACTCAGAGACAAGGTACTCTACACTGCACTATGTACAGAAACTATAGAAGTATAATAATATAAAATAATAATAAAATAATAAAATAATACTATAATCGTAATCGTTAACAATATAGGCCCGCAGTAATAAATACTAAATAGAACACCAACAATATTTTTCTAGACTTAAGAAATTTTGTTTCGATCATTTTATTATTTTCAATTGTACTACTATAATGATTTCGATACGTAGATAACGTCTTTATGTGTCGATAATGCGATTAACAGCTATTATGCGTTCTGGACTCAAACTAATTGGTCAGTCGGTATAACATCGTAATCGCGTTTATTGAGAGGACGCTACACCGACATATTTTGTTTGTCTCCGTTTAGGATGTACAATTATATTTTATAAGTAAACTTTGCAAACTCAACAAAGTAAACTTTGGGGATTTTTTTTCCTGTGGATTTTTTTCCGGGGGTTTTTCTTCCGGGGATTTTTTTTCCGAATACCATTCCACTATTAATTACCTACGTAATATTATGTTAAGCTAAGTTTTGACATGAACATCATTAGAATTTTTAAATCACTTAAGTCTAGAACGCACAAGGAGTATAAGTAATATTTGGAAAAAAATCAGTCGAAAGTAAAACGCACAGCTAAACTTATTGATTATAGTTAGAGCGCGGATTTCTATGCAATTGCATATTTGTTTCCTTTTAATATTTTTGGATTTTTGTCAGTATTCTCTACGAATCATCATAATTTGAAGCAAATGGTGAAATTTTTTTTTGCATATTTTTGCATATTTCAATGTTATTGCATAATTTTGCATATTTAGGCAAAATTCAAAATGTATTGCATATTTATTGCATATTGAAGCAAAAATTTAAAAAAATGTATAAAATAATATAGTATAATCAAGTAGAAAAATTAAAAATACATTTTATGGGCACGACGTAAACTTAATAAAAAACTGGTCAAAATATGACTTTACATGAAAGCTTTTCAATAATTGACGAAATCAAAGAAAAAATTAATTCTATTCCTGGGCCAAAAGGTGCAACACTTACTACAAAATTAAATGAGCTTTCCAATAAAAATAAAGGTCTAGAAATTCTACGAAAAATAAATGCAGTAGCAGTACTATCAGGCGAAAACGTTCAGCTCGAAGATGTTTATCAAGACCCGAAAATAATAAGTTGCTTCAAATATGCCCCAACAACTTCGGTTGACGTCGAACGTTCGTTTTCAGTATTTAAAAATATGTTAACTGATAAACGTCATAGCTTCACTGAAGAAAAACTTGAAATGCATATGATCATTCATTTTAATAGTACCTAAATAAAATTTAAAAAATTTAAAAAGAAATTTATATAAGTATTTAATATTTTAGTATTTAAGTAATTAATTGTTATAAGAAGTTTAATTTGTAAACGAATTTCATGATTTTTACTGCATATTTTTTGCATATTTTCATGATTTTTACTGCATATTATATGGCATATTTTGATACTTTTTAGTGCATAAAAATCCGCGCTCTAATTATAGTTTATAGTTATACCAACCTTTATGAATTTCTAATGCCCATAAATTGTATATGCTTATAAATATCTAGATTAAAATAACTCCACCAAATGTTTTAAAAATTATTAAAATTTCATTGTCTAGAAAATAATGATTCAAATACAAACTGTACCTATTGTTTAACAGGACTCTAATCGACTGCCCTTATAATAAATGACAATGATTTTTAACTATGATTCACTTATATAGCTAAATAATTCATGATTTTTATATCATTATACATTTAGGTTATATCCATATAACTCAATATAAGATAAGTGATATATAATAACTAGAGTAAGGATTTTAAAGAACTTTTAAGTAAGGAAAATAAAAAACTAAAAAAAGCAATAAAGCTGTCTAAATCATCTAAAAAAGCTTTAAAGAAAGCATTAAAAATAGGTTTTTAAAATAAGATTTATCACAAAAAAAAGTATTAAAATTATTTAAAAAAAAAAGTTATTATAATAAACTTATTAACAAGCCTGCTTCTTTGAGTTTTCATCCTCCCACAATTATTAATCTGTAAATTAAATTTATTCTATTTAAGATAATTTATAAAAAATAAATTTAAAAAGTTATAAAATTATTTTTTATACCTTTATCATCGGAGTTGCATTGGACAATCAATCATATTGGAAAACACATAATTTAATATAAAAATAAAAATTAACATTTAATAAGTTAATTTAAAACACATTTTGAAAAAATGTACCAAAAATACCCAAAAAATCCCCAAAAAGAATAAATATACAAAAAACTCAAAAAAGCAAAATAAAATGTCGTGCATAGTTGTAGTAGCTGACATAGTTTCGTTTTAGAGTAATAGAAACTAAAGGCAAATGTCTTTAAAATTCGTACTCTAATAATAACTAATAAGTACCTACTTCTGTCTTGTGTCAAATTATAATATTATGCATAGAAGCATGATAGGTAACCATAGTGTAATATCTGCCATTGACTGCCAATATATCTGTCGATTGTTATGAGCTATTGCGATTTATAACAGTAAAAAAGTTAGGTTTGTACACAGTGAAAAACGCTTTTGAGAAGGTTAGCCTTTGCATCTATAAAATCAAAACTCTAATGCTTATATAAAATTAATGTGGTTTTACACTGATGTGTTTTTTTAAAAATTTTTGTAAGAATAAAAGCAAATAAGAACACAATATTTTTGAATAGAAAATACATAAATACCGTATTTTGTAAAAAGAAAATAGTCTTATATTATCTTACACAATACTTGATTAAATCTATTTTATACAAAATCTATTAAGATTTAAAATTACCATACATTAGTTTTTATTTTTTAGGCATCAAACACACAAATTTAAACATAAATATTATTTAACTAGAAAAAATAAAATAAAATCATAAATTGCCTATTTCTGTTTACTTAGATTGACAATCATAGTTTCTACTGTGATAACATAATGCATATATTATAAATTATAATAATAAATAATATATAAACATACAACATTTTAGTTAAGTTATTTAAAAAATTTAAATAATAATTTATTATATCACTTTTTGCTCATAAATCTTAAGTATTACAATTTTATTTAATGGAACTAAAACAGAATTCAATAAGTAACTGATTTTTATAGTAAGATACAATTAAAAAGCTTCAGGATTATGTTGATCTCTTATTAAGTCCTGAGTCAGACAAACACAAAAATTTTCTTTTAGACAAATTTACACTAGTTCAATGAACTCAACTTAACTCGGTAGAATAAAACTATTAATTGGTCTTATATCTGTTTCTTCTGAAGATGAGGATGATTCTGAATATGAACGACTTCTGTTGTTACTGCGGATTTCAGATCGTGAATCATTGGTGTTTACTTTTCTTTTTTTCTTTTTATTTTTCTTGGTTTTTTTTTTCCTTTTGTCATTAACATTTCGAGATTTTCTAAGAGTAGTATGCGAACCTCGAGGACCAGTTATTGGTTCTTCATCATCTGATGAGGAATCTAGAATGGGCCTTCCTCTTCTTCCTTGAGATGGATATGACATTCGAGATAAATCACCATACACAGATTGATAATTAGGAGAATCATTTATAGTAGGTGAGAATATTCTTCGTCTCCTTAAATTATATCTATTCAATTGAAAAAATAATACAATTAAACATTTTTATACGTATAATAATATATAAAAAATAATTTAACACATTCACTGCCACGAGCCGCGTATCTACAAATAACTTACAGGGGACTATAAAAGTATATGAAAAAATGAGGAAAACAAAAAATTGAATGAAAATAATTTTCTCTTAATATGTTCTGAATGGCCTGACAAATAATAAAGCAGTGCTCCTAAGGCCAAATCACCTGATCACAGTTGGGGGGGGGGGGCAGAAGGGCCCTACTACAAACGCTGATCCGTGATTGGTAAGGGAAGTGAACGTGTTAAATAATAATTTTCTTACCTATTGTTGGGTCGATCTAATGAATCTCGAATTCCAGTAGATGTAGATGGTTGGTCTATAGAATTGAGTGGATCAATAGAAAGGAAGGAGTGACTTAGAATTTCAACGTCAGAGTCATCAACACTGGAACTAACTTCGATAACTTCCATTACATGTGGCCTTACAACTTCTTCATTATCTGAATCCAATACAATGGTTTCACCAATAATATGGATTGGTGGTAATGGGTCCCTATAAAGTGCGGTCTAAAAATATACATACATTTATATTAACAATAACACAATTTGCCATATTTAATTTATTTTACAATTAATTCACTGTCAAGCCCCGGATAAGTATATTGAACATTGCTATCGTAGCCACTAAGGTCGTATGGACTATTAGCAAAATTGTATAGTTCATGACAAAAATGTACTGCACGTGTATCCAGAAAAGGCCTTAAGACGTTGACCATATGTAATTGTCTTATTTCATATGCTGCAAGTGATCTCATTATCAAATTTGTCACAGTAACATCAGTATTCACCGGAAAAGGCATTTGCTGACCCTCTGATCTTACAGATTCCCTTACTGCAACCAGATCTCTAAGGATGAATGAATGCAATCTATACGTTTGTGCTGGATTATCTCTGAAAGAATAAAAATATGCATTGTACCAAACAGAAATTGTAAACTTAAGTTTCCAGGGAGAAGGTTAAGTGAATAAGTACTAGATAAGACAAGCATAGGCTAAATGACTGAATTTGGTCCAATATTTCAGACTCCCAAATTATTGATTTTAAAATGAGATATGGTGGGTTGCAATCATATTCTAACTGAGTACTAATAAACTTTATTATCATTTATCATTAAATGACTAAAATAAATCTTAATAATAAAAAATAATACAATCATTATAATAGTTATATCATTATTGTTATTAACATTGAATTTAATATCACCGAATCATGGAACTATGGGTTCATGGTATGAATAGGTAATAGTTTAAAACTAATCTAAATATTGCAAAAATGTATAATATATTATGTAAACGTTTTAAGTCTTCACGAATAATGTTTTTGAGTTACAAAGAAAAAACTAAAATTGTAATTCTTAGTTTGAGTATACAATTTGCTCAAATCTGAACTTAAGATATCTATAAATAAAACTGTATATACATATACATTTATCTATAGATTTTTTGGTTGCACTATGAATTACTCATGAGACATTTTGTTTCCATCCTTAGTAATAGAAATTTAACATTTTATCAACTTTTAACTACAAAATAATTTACAAATTTTGGTGATTTTTGAACTTAACAACTTTCCAACATTTATGTTCATAAAAAAAATGTGCACATTTAATATTTTTAAGGTGGTATTATAATAACACAATATTATTAGCAGGGATCTGAATTTAACGCACTGAAAAACTTAAATATACACTAAAATCAAACAATATATGCATCAAAATATGCACTCATTTTTCAAAAATATCCAATAATTCACTAAAAATATGCACAAATTTTTATTTGAAGATATAATTTTTTACGTAGCGATAATTAAACCAATATGGACCTATGGAATACAACTTTGGGGTTGTGCCAGTAAGTCCAATATTGATTGAGATTATTCAACGCTGTCAAAACATTGCTCTCCGTACTATTGTCGCAGTGTACCGGTACGACAGAAATGACACTATCCACCGAGACTTGATGATGCCCTCAGTCCAGGACGAGATTACAAAGTTTTCCCGAAAATACGAGATAAGTCTAGATCAACACACCAATCCAGCAGCAATTCAACTACTTGACAACTCTCAAGACATAAGGCGTCTCAAACGCCGAAGACCATATGACTTAGTATAAAATGTTAGACTAAGACCAGGCCTCTCCATTAGGAGTGATAACCCAAACATGTTTTTGTTTATATATATCTACAAAATATTATTCATTAGTATCTTATATTTATGTATACCTCTGAAATGTATTGTTAAAGATCATTGATCGTTATAATAAAAAAGCCATCAGGCAGTTTTCAAAAAAAAAAAGATATAATTTTTGAAATTTTATTTTTATATTAATATGAATTTCAGACTAGTATAATTCTTGTTGTTAACAACAACACCCACAAAAAAATACAAATTGACTAAAAGTAGAATAGTTTCATAGAAGCTATATAAGTTATATTTTAAACAAAAACTTAAATATGAGAAAAAAACCTTAATAAGAAGAAACTATGAAAGCATGCATTTATATACCCTTATGGCCTTACCATAAAGTATGAAAAAAATTGATGAAAAAAAAAAACATACAAATGCATTAAATTTACAGATCTTTTCTGATTAGGAGAAAACTTGAATTTAATTTTTAAATTTTTCGACCCAGGGAAATTTTTTTTACCTATATTTATAGAAACAAATATTCAAAATTGTTAATATCTACAAAAAACTCAGTCAATAAATTTTGAAATTATCATCATGTATAGAAAATTATAAAATAAACATTAGGTCAAACTATTAGAGGTACCTTCTGTTAATTGTTTTTGTATTGAAACAAAATAAAAAAAATTGTTAATTTACAGCTAAATATCCAATGTTTCTAATAAAGTAAGGAAAATTGTCAAACAAACATTTAGTTGAAGTATGTTTGGTTTTTAATTTTTGGACTAAACCAAAAAAAAAAAAAGTTAGTTCTATTTGGTACATTTAAATGTCAAATTCAAAAATTCAAAGTAGTTTTCAAAAGCGTAAGGAAAAACAAACCAAAAATGAAGGAAAACTGGGTTTTAACTCAAAATTAGTTTTGGATAAAATCAATTTAGTCGTTTAAACCAAAAAACTAATAACCATAAATACTTTATTTTCATCGGCTAACTAAATTATGATTTTCTATATCCTATTAAAATGAAATGTTTTGAAATTTTGAATTCAATTGGTGTTTTTTAAATTATTATCATGACATTTTTTTTGTTATGTCAAAATACTTGAAAATGTATTACAAGGCTCCTCATAACTTTTTTGTTTAGAGAAATTAAAAAAAGCTAAGCATAAATTCACAATACATTTTTATGAACGTCTGAAGTTAGAATTTTGAGTTTTAGAATTTATATATACAAAAATGAATGTCTGCATAGGCGCCGCCAGGAATTTTATCAGGGGGTACATCATGATTTCTAAATAATGCTTGTATACATAACAATAATAACGGTAATATTAATAATAATAACAATAATAATAGATACATACGTAAAAATATTTTTTCAAATTGTATAATGATATAACAAAGTTATTTTAGTTTTTTTTTCAACGACTACAATGGCTAATGGCTACGATTAGAAAACCCAAAATTCGATTAAGAATTTAGAAAAAAAACCTAGGAGTTTACCTTTATTATTTTAAAAATAAGAATTATAATACATAATATAAATAATATTTACAGACAATTATGTAAAATAAGTATAATAATAAATAATAGAAATAATGTAGATGGTTATGCAGAATAAAACAGTTTCAATATCATTCAATTTTTTTGATTTAATTTTTTAATTTTTTCTTTTTTGAAAAGCCAGAGGGGTGCAAGTGCACCTCCTTCGCGGCACTCATGAACATCAATCTGTCTGTCCTTCCTAAGCCATTCAACCGATTGCGATTAAATTTGGTACAGAGATAAGAGCTTAGGGAAGTTGGGCTAATTTAAAATGGAGAGGTCCAATCCTGGGAGGTGCTCAAACAGGGATTTTGAGATTTGCAATGGAAATTTGTTTATAAATGGTTGCTATCACTAATAAGAAAAATAATAATAATGTGACACTAATATTGCGTCCACAGAAAAATAAAACATATTATTCATATAGGGTAAGCAACTAGTGGGGTCCGCAATCCACAGCAGGTGGATTGCCTAGCTGATTATAAACTGCTCGCATTATCAACAGGTAATCTCATATAGAGTTGAAATTTTTAAAGGGCAATGACAACATAGCGTCTCTCAGAATCTAAAATGTTATAGTATAAGTGTAGATCAAGTATTTATAAATTATATATGAACAAATTTTTTAAAATATTGATTAGAACAAGTTATTCCATTTGTCAAGTATTTCTGTTAAAATCTGTATTTCTAATTATGATGAACAATTGAACTTATCGATCCACCGAGACTCCTCCCAAGCTTCATTAGACAAAATGCAATTGAACTATGAAATAATTGTTAGCTTAATTATCAGAATAAATTGACCTAACTTAAATGTAGGAATTGTATGTATTCTCTTGATGGTTTTTTACTAAATTAAAATTTTTATGTACGTTATGAGTATGTAAAAAAATCAATACTTTAAAATGCTTAAAATTCACTTAAAAATTAAAATATCGTACAAAATAAACAAGAAAACACAGATAATATTATTACATACATTTAATACATTTAAATTTGATAATAGGTCAATTCACTCTAATATTTAAGCTAACAACATAAAATTGGAGGTACTAGATGTAAATGTTGGTATATTATGAGTGAGAAAGACAGGGACAACATATGTATGTACAACATCCTCTTAAGAGTAAAATATTATATTGAAATGTTTTTAATTTTACCGATAGAAGGCTGAGGAACAATCTCTAAAACGGCCAGTTGCATCAGGTAATGGTTCAGCCCACATATTAGTAATATACACTCGTATTCTAAATCCTTGACCTGAAAATTAAAAAAAATGACAAAATGTACAAACTAAGAGGTTGCCATATCTGCATCTTACAAATGAACAATATGGCTCATTTTACGTTCACAAAAATTCATTTAAAAATCTGTTATTTTTAAAAATTATAATAAAATTTAAAGGTAAAATGCAAGGCACCCTTCAATGACATTTTAATTATAAAGCAAGTTAAGGGCATTATAAAACTGTCATTTTTTGTACATTTTAAAACGCACAGAACATGCTTCATAAATTAAAATATCAATAAAAGCCACAGACATGCCTTAGATAATAATCTTACTTTTATATTTTATAATACATCAATTCACTCTAATTTTAAAAATAATAGATTAAAATGGATTATTTTAAACCAACATTTTGTTATATTGTACATTTGTCAGACAGAGCCAACACATGGGGTATCGTTCTCTTAACACTATAATAAATACCAATGATTGGTCTTTGTAGATTAGGGCGTGGATAATTTGCAGATGGATCAGTTAAAAATTGATTCATGGCATTAGCATTATGATTTAAGTCCACTGAGTTCTCGTCATATCGCAAGCCCATCATGTTGTCATTTCTACGGACAATATCCAAAAACAAATTCATTCTGAACATTCTAGACAAAACATAATATACCTGTAGTAATCTGATTATTTTTAAACATAGGATACTTATTTAAATATACAATTAAATAAATATACAATTTTATTTTAATATACAATACAACATTCAGCTGCAAAAGTATTATTATGGAGACAGTTAGCGTTTGGGCAATTTAGCATTAAGTATTTGAGCAAATAATTTTAAAGTATATTCATAGGCGGAGATCTTGTGAAATATTAAGGGGGGCTCAAATATTTGATGACAAACAGACCCGAGGGGGCATTGCCCCCACACCCCCAACAAACTAATTTTTACATTAGATCACTCATAAAAAATTGTTCTCGTTGACTCGTTATTATAACAACTTAAATAGTTACAAACATAAAAAAAGAATAATTAATAAACGATTTAAATTTAAATATTTCAAACATATTGGAACTAAATTATTTATTAAAAATCTAAATCACAATCTCAAAAGAAATGTATTCCCAAGAACATCAAACAATAAGTAAAATATAATTTAGTATAAAATGGTCAATACGGTTAACGATTCATTCAATCGTGATAAACTTTACGATAGGTTTAATAAGTAAATTATAGTCCTATAATAGCTATCGCTTCTTGAGAATTAACAAAAATTAGGAAAAGAAATAATATTTTTCCCATCTAAAATAGAATGGTATAATATGTTATTCATTATAGATGGCCAATTGGTACAAAATATGTACAATATTAGATATATAAACACAATATAATATTATTGTGAATTGTGACTTAATTGTTCGGTATGTTATCGTAAATAATAAATTGGTAAATAGTGTGTATGTAATCTACTAGGTACACTTATATAATTGTGGATATAAGAATATAAAATAATGAAAAAAGTTCTGCAAACTGTACAAAATTACGGTTTTGTTTGTTTAATATTCTTAGGGGGTCTTTAACTTCAAATCATTTATTTTGGGGGGACTAAGCCCCCGTGAGGCTCCCCCCCCTGATCTCCGCCTATGAGTATATTGTTATGTTTGGTTTATCTTTTATAATATTCTACAATGTGTTTTGACAATATTCTATCATTCATTTTGCTTATCATTTCACTTGTATTATTACAATTATTATGTATATTTAAATTACATATTAAAAGTTTTAGTACGCATTTTTTGTCTCAGAATTTCATTATACATATATTATATAATACGCTTAATCGAACTAAATAATCCAAATTTCCCGATGTGTACTTATACACAATTGTTTATAAATATTCTTCTTTGTTTGATAAAACTTTTTGACAAATTTATTATTGTTAGTATTTTTATACAATTCATTGCCATCTGAAACCATTTTAATTTGTTGTAATACAGCTTTAGAGGCATTCAGGTGTAACGAATCCATTTTCGGTAAATCATACATAATAATTAATAACTAATAACACTAATATAATGACTTCTTGTTATAAATAAAATGTCCATAACACTTGAATCACACTAGCCCAAACAGATAAATTTTCTTTAGTGGATAAAAAGGTGATTAGGTCCATTTATTAATATGCTTATTATTGTTAAAATAACTAAAATATAATTTGCTTCTATATTCTATACAAAATTAAAGTATACCAATTCGCAAATTCATAAATGATGGGTGGGTGGTGGAAGCAAAGGCATGAGAGATACATGTGCAATCTCTATGTGTGTTTTCGTTTGCTGCCTTGTATACTCTAATTTTGAAAGAGTACAGATATTTTTATAATAAGTTCATTGATATATATTTCAACTAATGTTAAAAAATATAAATTATTGATATTTTACATACCAAATTCAATATCAAATAGGTAGTACAAAGATATTAAATAGTCTTTATCTAATAACTAATTTCTAGTAATAGTACTTTACCTGTCTATATCATCTGTCATTTCAGCGAATGGCCGTATGAATATTCTTGGTCTAGAAAAACTTACATAGTAGCAAACATATAAACAAAGTGATTCACCAATAATGCATTCAAAATCTGATTTTTGTAATATTTAAATATATTTTAAGACCATATTTTCAAATGCTTGAGATTTTTCGTACTACTGAAGGAGTGTCCTGTGGATATACAAACTTCTAGTTTTCAAATGGAAACATCCCTATTCAACTTTGTATTATACAGTAGATAATTTTTCTGAAATTTTTGACATATCAAAATTTGTACGAGTAGGTAGTTTTTAAGTTATTTAACACCGTGTTCTAATGACAAAAGGTAAATAGTAATGAGTTTATAATATATGACGATGAAGCTATGGTGATTTGATAACTGTAGTCATTTATATTAATCTATCGATATTAATAATTGGTAAAAAAGGTCCAAGTATAATAAATACTAGATCCAATTTTACGTCTATTTCATATTTATTTATAACCAGTTTTAAGGACTATTATCCTTTATATAAACAATTTAATAACTAAGAAACTACTCATTTAAATTTTGAGTGTGGAACATCAACATTTTCAAAAAAAATATCCACAAATTAATTTATAGTAAAAGAGGGGGGGTTCTTATTTGAAAAACAGAAGTTTGTATCTCCACAGCACACTAGTGGAAAAAAAAAAATTCAAGAATTTAAAAATATGGTCTTTGAGTATATTTAAAAATTCAAAAACTTAGAATTTAAATAAAAAAATAGGGATGAGCATGCTTAATGAATCAATCTGTTTAACACGTCTCCAAAAACTGGGTTCTCTATATAACTCAGCTACTTACATTATTCATTACCCTATACATATTTTAGAATTCTGTCTGAGAAATTGATGATCCAATAGTCAAGTTTTATATCCCCCAAAACAGAATTGAAAAATGTGCATGGGGTACTTAATAATATGGGTAGTTTACTTATACAGTGTACCCTGTTTTCTCGGACAGGTGGTATAATAATATTAACATCATAATATATCAATGTTATAATATGATGTGTTTCTTACGATGGTAATCTGGCCACCAGTCTAGGAACATCATATGTTTCATGGACACCATCATCAGCAATTGAATGATAAATAAAATTGAACCTTTTCTTACATAATGGACAAGTTGCTTCAGACTAAATAAAAAAACATATAAAAACATAAACATTGTGATCAACACATATCAGCATGAAACTTTTCAACAAGTTGCAAATCAATTTACTTCTTATACAATCTGTATTAAGTAAATAAATAAATATAATAGATTAGATTTTTTTTTGATTGTACTAAATAAAAACTTCAGTCAATAAATATTACATTTTTCTGAAGTTATATTAAGTTCAGTCTTCTTACTTTTTAAACTATTACTTACCTCTTTATACAGATTTAAATTACTGAGAAAACATTCAATTTTCATTAAAATAAATGGTTGTAATAATTTAGTATGTCTTAACAAATAAAAATTATTTAAGAGGATATTATACCCGCATGTGTTGTCTCCGTCTTACAAGCACGTAACATACCAAATTTTAAGCTCAGAAGATTACATTTAGCTTTGTCAGTTTAAAAATTAAAATGAATTGACCTCTTATTGCGATTAAAGTTAAGATTATTATGGAGGGCATCTCATGGACTTTTTATTATGTTTTTATTTTAAAGAATGCTATGAGTATTTTAAGATGTACAAACAATTTACAATTTTAAAATACTCATAACTCGTTTTAAAATTAAAATATAATAAAAAGTCCATGAGATGCCCTCCATAATAATTTTTAAACTGACAAAGCTAAATGTAATCTTCTGAGCTTAAAATTTGGTATGTTACGTGCTTGTAAGACGGAGACAACACATGCGGGTATAATGTCCTCTTAACTTTCGTAATTAAAATGAGAAAAAAGTATGTATTCCATCACAAACTGTATATACCTAGTCAATTTCTATTTAAGACTATTAAATAACATATAATATTACATTATATTATATTTATATATACATTTTAATATTTAAGGTTATTAAGAATTAGTAAGAATTAAATAAACTTACATTTGACCATCTTTGTAAGCACTCAAAACAAAATGCATGCCAACATTGATCCGTATGACATTTATTTGTTAGATCATCCAGACAAATTGAGCACTGTGAATCCGGTGTTGAAGGGCGTCCACTAGCTTCGGGAAGAGGAACTTCACTATTAATGGTTGATAACATTGATACTGCCTCTTCATCATCTGATGACACCTCCACTACTCCACTAATATGTTCAGGTTTTATGATTACCGACATATTGAATTTCAAATTTCAATTCTAAAATAAAATGTAGTAATATTATATTCTGTACTAAAATCACATTTTGAGCATAGTGAGTGATCACAAGAACAACGTGATTATTCTAACACCGGGAAACAAATGGGAGATGTGCAGCACTAACGTAAATTGATCGGCCAAGTGATTATTCTCTTTTGAAACAGAGTATAGCTATCATATGTAAATAATGTTAATTTTATCAAAACGGTATCCTAGAAACATTAGCAAGGCGAGCTAAAATTAAATTGTTAAAGTATACTGAATACTAATCTGTCCAAAATAATCCTGCGTATTATGACACAAATCTAAAATAGCAAATTTAATACGACAGCTTCCTTCGCTTATTCAGAAAGAATACACTTAACTCAATAGTAACTAGTAACCATTAACCCGGAACTCATACATTTCTGAGAATATATTTTAATACTTAAACTCAGATATGATTTTGCTTACCATAGTATAAATAGCTGATATTCCACTAATATAATCTGAATACCAAATATATTTAATAAATAAATAATGGATATCTGTTGTATTATCGTTCGTTTAATATCACTAAAATCTGAAAAGAAGCGCTTCAATAGTGTTAATTTACACCAAATGAGCACTAAACGGTCAGTTAAGTGATAAGTTGTAAAACGTATTTAAGTAACTACAAGCCGTTGAGAAAAAATAAAGTCAAAATGTTTCGCCATAAGTCAGTGAATTGAGTTCGGTAGGCCGACCATTTAAACACTGTGGCGGTTGAGATCACAGAAAGAGTTAAAATGAAGACGCGAAAGCAAAGTTAAAACAAAAACAGAAACATTTGCTTTCAGACAAAATAAAAAAAAAAATCACTCGCGAATGAAACACGACAAGTAGTGACCATATAATGCTCACTATCAATCCGTAGTCACTAATTACGTTTCCAAGAATAGAGGAATAAAAATATAAATATTACAAAACTCGCCTAGAATGAAGCTCAGACCCGCGGCTGATTGCGACGAACATTGGACGTGAGTAGCACTGTAAAGCCGTCCGCCATGTGGTAATATACCCAAGGTATAGCCGATCGACAATGATCAGCACTTTTTTGTTTACTGTAACCTTTTTAGATTTTACATCCTCCTTGGACCTCGATCTATTCAGGATGGCCAACTCCGGTTCCCGTGGTATCGTGAAATCTCGATTGGTCGATTCACTCTTCACTGGCTCCCTGCCGATCGCGTCACTCTCGTGGCAACGGTTAAAAATGTATTTTACAATATATTATATAAGACACACACAATTTATATTTATATACAATTTTATTATATAAGATTATTCACAGATATATTATTCATATATATCCGTGATATTATTAATAAGAATGATTAATAAAAAAAAAACCGTGTTCTTCACATTGTCACAGAGTAATATAAAAGCGGCGGTACATTTTAAACCACGGACTACAATTATAGTAGTTACTGGTTATACTGAACTGGTCAACTGAACGTCTGAACATGAGACGTTGGCCAACATGCCACCAGGCCACCAGGCCGCTTTGTGTTCGCGAGAGAGGTGTAGTAGTCGTACATGAGCTAATTTGGCGCTATCTATATTTCAGTGATAAACTATTACCAAATGCATTCACTACAATACGTTTGAGAAAATGCCTGTCGTAAGCCACCACCAGCTGTCCTGTCACCCAAATAGTCCAATGACGTTAAAATTCTGTGAGAACCGTAGTGCAAGAATTCTTCATTGGCCAATAATACAACTCTATAATGGCTCTACAGCCTATGCCTCGTGAATCCTGAGTGCTAATCATAGATAAAAGGTTAAATTATAATAATTAAATATATATTATATTTTATATAATTAAATATATTTAAAGTCCTAATCCCAAAATGGTTAATTATCGAATCGTATCAAATCCTTCACGCAATCCAAAGACCTGACCTATTCTCTTCATTATAGTCACTAAATTATAGTCATTACCGTTGAAAAGACTCCAAAGACATTAACTACTGCTACTCCTGCACAGAGTACTCCACTACTCACTTATTTTGATCATATTATGAAAAATTGAAAATTATGATATAACATATAATACTATATTAGTCTATTCTATAATCAATAGTCTTCACTCTTCATGACTTAAGTATACTGCCATTAAAGACATTTGCAACTTATTGTTACATAGACACATAATAGATATTTGATTTTTTTCAACACCTAAATTATTATTACTTTCCCATACTCCGATTGTTTGGATACATAGGAATCCAATTTTTGACAAATAATTAGGTAGGTATATGTAGATCTAAACTTAAAATACAACTCATTGACTTCTAGTTTAGAACTCGATTAATGTATCTAATCACATGTATAGAAATGCCCTGAAAAATATTCTGCTTTGGAATAAGGAGTAAAACAAAAAGATGTACGAGGTTTTTTCAAAATTGTTATTTTCTAACAACTAAAAATTATGTAAAAAAATATTTTCAAAAACAGTAATGGTTTTGAAATAATGAGTGTTCTACAATAAAATAATCACCCAGTAGTATGAATAGTTTATATAAGATATCTACCTAAAGGACAATTATTATATTAAGATACATTATAACGTTATATGCGTATAATACATAATTATTGATATATTTTGTTTGAGTAATCTATTAAAATGCAGGAGTAATATAAAAATTTTAAACTCTAATAATTAAATAAATTTTGATAACAATTAGTATAACATTCTTAGTTAAATATTCGTATTTATAGTATAATATGAATTTATAATGATAATTGATAACATAACATGATTTAGATACACATCACAACAAAATAAGGAAACTACAAGAAATTCTTTTGACATCTGCAGTGTTAATAAAATGCATTATTTTATCAACATTGTATGAAATAAAATTCAAAAAGTAATTTATTACTTTGTTCCAGAATTTCTTGAAGTCCACATAAAAAAAAAATATATATATATAAATATAATTAGGTATCGGGACATTTGGTAAACAAAATATAGTCAACACAATATTAAATAAATTTAAATTTAACCAAAAATAGTACACATTTAAAAGGGTAAAATATGGTCACACTGTGGAATAAATAATCTACCTAGTGTTCCATTACTCTGAACACCAGTTCCAATATTACTGATGACTGCTGGGCTTTAACTGCTATGGCATTCACCACTGGAACAAGATGTTCGTCCAAACTTTGCATATATAAAGGAGGCAGTTTACTTTGTCCACTTCCAGCTTCATATCCTACCTGTATTATTTGGCAATGATAAAAATTTAAAAACGATTAAAATAAAAAACAAATATTTACAACATTTATTTACCGAATCAGGATTGATGACAATTCGTAAGGCCAGTGGAGTCAATGAAGCTGCAGATAATAAATCTAAAAGTGGAACTAAAGCAGTACATGTCGCCTTGGATATGGATTCAGCTGTCCTACTAGTGTCCAAAGGTTCATCAACACGATCAGACGTTTCTTCACACTATATTAAAATAAAATAAACTTATTTGGTAACTATAATATTATTATTAATTCAATGGTAAGGATTAAGGTGAATATTCTAGATATAGTATCCTATAAGTTGAGGAAACATTAAAAGTGATATATGAAACACTTTCCAAATTCTTTGATCAATTCTAGAAGTTTTAAGGTAACTAAAGGTATTAATAATCATAAATCATATTAAGTAACATACTTGTATAACAAACACTTCAGTCCATCGAATAAAACGTCTTTTTCCTGAATAATCAACACCGTTATGTACTCTAATTGAGTATACACCATCTAATGGTCTGCCATCAATACAACTCTTAACTCTAAACAATAAATAAAATATTTTGCTGATACTATAATGAATAAATAAATTAAATTTATCATTCCTCACCCAATGTTGAAATTAACATCGTCTTCTGTCCAGTGGAATATTACTGTTTGCTCATCATTGGTTCCACAATTTAGTTCAAAGTCTTTCATTAGACGAAGAGCATCACGTAATAATGCCATCTTTTGTGATGACATTTCAACCATGACACCGTCTTCTACTATGCGCCATCTGGTACTAACCTCATCTTCTAAATCACCATTCAATGCAATAAAACTGGCACCAGTTACTATATAAACCATCATTTAGATTAATTATCACAATTAATGTCGTATAAATGAATTCCATTACTTTGTCTAGGTTTATTGTGGATATTAATTGCTTGAGTATTGTAGTTTCCATCATCTTTAGTTGATTGAACACATACTAGATGAGAATCAGCAACTGCACTGAAGTTAGCACCAAATGCTAAAAGACCACGATTTGACGCCAATACCAATCTTGAAACCTAAAATTTAACATATACAAGTTAAAATAAATAACAGTAAAATTTAATACTTAAATAAACTTGTATAATATATTTACTTGATCATATCTATTCCGTGGTAATAGCACCATAATTTGTTTTTCATCCATGTGTATATAACAGCCTTTAACAGTTGGTAAACCATAAGAATATTGTCTAAAATCCTTTAAAAAGTATATTTTTATTTATTAATATTTACTTAACATATAATTTGTTTTGACTTTTTAAAAAAATTTTAACAAATTCTTAGAAGCTTTGTTTAAATGAAAAACAATAACTTACTACTAATAGCTTAATGACTGTTTGACCGATTTCTGTATATAAAGAAGGCCGATTTCTAATAGACACTAACATACATGGATAATAACGATATTCTGCTCCTAGTCGTAACATTAAACGAATAGGAAACATTTTGGCCCAAGGAGTTTCATACCTAAAATAAAATAATAAAAGGTTTTAGAATTTAAAACCCAGAGTTACCTCAATGATTAAATCTCGCTTCATAACTACATCATCTGTCATGTCCTGTGCTTATTATTGTATTCTGATTGGCTGTTGTAATAATTGTATTATTACATTGCCCATAATCTGCCAGGAAATTTACAGTTAGGCAGAGCTCAACTTTTGAAAATAACACGACAGACAACATCATAGATGTGAACCTGACTTTATACTCAATTTAATTTCAAATTGATAAGATATTAGGAATTAAAATAACTTACTGATGAACAAGCAATGCAAATAAATAAGGGGGTGATGGCAGGCGTAATTTTTGCATACACTGGTATGTTTGTCTTACGAATAAAAATCCACCATGGTTATTGGAATCCAATAATGTAGTATTAACAGGAGCAGTAAAGGACATATCACTAACTGTTACACCTAAAATAATAAAATTATTATATAGTATCCGGCAATAGCTTAAATAATAATAGTCTTGTGAAAATAATAATATAAACCTGTTGAAGCGTTTTTATATAAATTGTTTACGAAGAGAAATAAATCACGAGGTGGATGTTTTTCATTGGGAAGTGTTTCCAATAAAATTACCACCTCATCTTGACCAACACAAGCAAGGCCTTCAGTACTCAAACACCATGTTTCACGTTTAACACAACAGTCCACTGTTCGAAATAAATATGTGCCATAATATTATATTAAATACATATTATTAAATAATAGTATACTTACAAAAAACTCTCCTGACATAAAGAAATAAATTAGGATTGACAGCAAACATTGTTTCTGGATCATTTAATGCTATTGGACGTTCAGTGTCATCAAATATCAATTCACCCTGATCTCTTTTAGCTGCTGGTGGCAAACCAATATTTGGTATGTAACTTTGCGTTTGAGAATTAAGTGGCCTTCTGTTAGCAGCAATAACACCTAAAAATAAAAATAAATAGTAATAAATAATTATTTTTATTTTATTGACAAAAACATTTAAAGTTGCTATTCGATCACATCATTTTCTGTGACGTAATTCAATAATAATAAGGTTATTGGTGGTTTAGAGCAAGGACCTCCAACCTATGATCTGCAGGTTAGTTCTGGGCCACCAAACTAATTGATGGTTTACTCAAAATAATTTGAATGTATCTTCAATTTCATTACCTCTAGTCTATCCCTATTTAAAAAAATTTGGCCCGTGATTCTAAACATATTTGGCAGTGGTTTTACTGCACAGAAGGCATACATATTATTGGCTCGGTAAGGATGACAAACATGTGTTGCCTGACCACCACTGGACAAAAACCGGTTGCCACAAAGATTACTTCTTAACATGAATAGAGTATATTTATGTTTTTTTTAGATAGAAATACAAACCAATATTTGACATCACATATTGATTACTTAAGGATTTAATATTTAAATATTTAATCAATATTGACGTTTATTATATTGTAGTTTTATGGTAAATTCTTATATATAAATATATATATATATTAAAAGCATTTTTTGTTGA